TCCCTCCAGTGGCAAGTCTACAAATCTCTGTGTTTACCACATTAATAAAAATATGGAAGAATAAATTCTGTCCCATTATGCATTCCCTGTGTAGATTGATAGGATTTTAACAAAACCTTGTTGCAGTTTGCTACCTGTCTCTGTTCTGAAAACAAAATTGCAGCATGTCCTTTCCAAAACTGATTCCTGTATGGGGGGGGGGTCTGGGTTCATTATAAATCAGCGGGTGGACTCTGTTGTAATAGGTGCAGGTGCAGAGTTGGCATCCCTTTACAGTAATTAACCCTTGGGGAGTATCTCACCAAAAATGAAATTCCTATTGCAAGGGATGCCAAAAGGTATACTTGTAAAATTATATACTTCTGGGAAAATCAGTCAGCCAATCACAGCAGCAGGAAGTGACATTCCTGGAGTTACCCTTTAACTCATCTCACCTACACAGAAGGCAATTTTCAGCCCTAACTATGAAACAACTAGAACAGGATAAGCCAACACACAAATATATTGATGATGATTTCACTGGAATTGATTGGATATGGCTTCCTAACCCATAAAAGGCAGGAAGATTGTAGACGTCAGACACTATTCACACTGATATATGTAATAACCAAATAAGACAGATAAAGAAGTGCAGAATATACCGTATAACAGCTTTGCTATGTCTTTTTCATGCTTAGTATACAAGACCGACCTAACATTATCTAATACTATTACATCAGGAAGAGCTGAATTTGCAGAAAGGATTTGTCATCAGAGAGTTTCCCTTCCCTCTTTCAAAAGCAGGAAAGAAAGCTTCCATACAAGCCGCCAGTCAGACATGGAAATATCGCCGCAAATAATCTTTCGTTTGCAACCATTGAATATCCAAGTGGTTTATTGGCTGCTACTGACTGCTGACTGGCCAACCAAAATTCTTCCTAACAGGGATCTGACAAAAAAAGTAGTGGAGGTCATTTGCTCACCTGATTTCAGGGAGTTACAAACACGGCCCTTTCCTTTGATGTGGCAATGTGAAAATACTGCCCCTAGTTCTCCTGTAGACATCTGTTAGTTGCATCATTTTGGGATGAATTCTTTGGAAAAAAGGCACATGGGTGCAGAATGTGCACCACTGGGCAGGCTGCCTTTCTCCTACATTAGTAAAACTGGCTGTGTTTATCAAGGGTGGAGCTTAGAACTACTTTTCTCCTCCATAAAATTCAATAGGAATGATAAAAATCAGCATCAAAGAATAAGTGTACTTTTAGACAAAGTGCACTTATATTTTTGCCCCCCTTCCCCTCTCCTAAACTATCCCACCCTCGTCCCTCTGCAGATCTATACTTACTGAGATCAGGGGGCAGCTGCTCAACTGTTTGCGGAAATCCAGTGCTACAAGTCTCTCTCCCTGCCACATTGGTCTACCAGGTAGGCGACTAACCCATAGAAGTCTGACTGTAAAGTGCAGATTCAGCCAGTAGAGGGAGCATTGTTGCTATGGATGTAAACAATAGAGGAACCGTACCAGTCAGATCTTGGTAAGTGTGGATCTGTAGATGAAGTGTGTGGGATAGTTTTGGTCAGTGGTGGGGGACAAAAAGAATAAGTGTACTTTGTTTTAAAGTCCATTTATCCTTTAAGCAGTTTGATACAGTTTAGAGCAGGGGTGGGCAATGCCGGCCCCCCGGCTGTGCTTTTAAAGAGGAACTTTACTCTCATCTTCAAAACAACAAACACACCTTTAGAAATGTTTAGTAATGACAACCTACAAACAGATACCTCTAAATAATTGCCGGCTTCCTATTCTTTGTATTCCTTTTTTTTTCTCTTCCCCAGTCTTCTCATAGTGGCCATTTTATTGAGGCAAGGTTATTAGATCTCCCTTTACTTAGAGGGAGGTCAGAAGCAGATCTCCGAGTCTCAATGACCACTGTTATTGGGACAGAATATTACAGAACTTCTTCCCAGTGGGGATACAACAATAAAAACATCAGATGTTCTAATCCTTGTTCTCTTTATTCATAACATAAGAATCAAGTTTTGGCCGGAGTTCCCCTTTAGCACCCATTACATTTGAAGTTTTTTTTATTATTGTAACTCCTCCTACATTTTTGGCTTAGTGGTCCTTTAAAGGTATAAAGTTTCTCACCATCCGTGCACTTTACCACGTTTGCAGCTACATTTTTCTTATTTGTTGTATCCCAGCTGTTTCCCTCATAATGGAAGAAACTGCAAGCCTCACCTTTATTCCCAAAAGAAACAATACAAATGAATGCTTTTAATTTCCTCTGCTAAATAGCAGTGTGCTGACTTGTAAAGTTATGGAATGAATGACTTGAATATTTTCCATCTCCCTAAAGTTTCAATTGAAAGCTGTTACTCAGAGCTGCTACCAAACCTTTCCAGTAATTACAGCTTCTCTACCAAACCTATAACTTTCTCTTCAACCACCAAAATAAAAGTTCCAGTAACACTGGTCAAAAAAAAAAAGGCTATTTAATAAAACACATGTTGCCAAGATGAATTCACTCATAAATCTATTTAAAAAAAAGTTGCTTTAACCTTTGTAAAAACCAACATTTAAAAGGAAAGATATTAAGCTCCTCTTCTTCCTGACCTGGGCAATGTTCCACTACAATATGGTAAGCTGTAATTCTTTCATACAGCAATACGTTATGACCATTTCCCTTTTGGAGGAAGAGCCCTAATTCTCAGACTTCCTTAGGCCTTGTTCACACCAAATGCAGACCAGGTCTGCATGAGTTTCTGCACACGCAGTGCAGTGGGTTGTGCCGCGCTTTTGATGCGTTCCGGGCCGTTTTTGGTAAAAAAAAACTTTTTTTTAGTTTAAAATGGGCTTTCAGTGTGCTCCAGGGCATTTGCATGCATGTTTGATGTGTTTGCATGCATTCCAGAGCAGGTTAAATAGGGCCTGCTGCAGTTTTTTTTTTTACCTGCTCTGGAACGGAACGCTGCGACGTGAACTGGAGCTAAAAATACCATTGGAATACATTGGACGCAGTTTTGCTCCGGTCTGTAACTGCTCTGCTCCGCGCTTGGTGTGAACAAGACCTTAAAGGAATTGTGGCTTAGCAAAAGAAGGAACGGAATCTCAAAGTCCTGACTGTGGTATAGCAATTGATATACCCCAATTGTTAAAGCAGAACTCCAGGTAAACATTTTCAGGATTCATCCCGTCAGTGTACGCTCACCCGCCCGTACGTGCAGTTCGGTGAGCGTAGGGCGGCGTACGGTCGCGTACTGCCATAGAGAAGGACAGGATGCTGAGTTTAATCACACGCAGCACTTGTCCTTCCCGGGAGCGGCCGCACGGATCTGTACGGGCCGGCTGTTACTCGTGTGAATGAGGGCTAAGTTACTAACCCAGGACAAGTGTGCAGCAAATCCACAAAACCTGATACCTGCATATATGTTCAGGGTCAGGGACTGTGATTGTATATTAGCCATGGGATCAACATGAGAGCCAGACAGCTAGCATTTTCAGAAGGAGAGGTCAGCAAAGGCAGCCCATGTACTTCTCTCAGCACAAATTTACTTTAAAGAACAGCAGACCGTTCAGAGGATAGGAAAAGGCAAATTACCCGTGGACTGCGGAGAATAAAGTTATGCAGTGGAGTGTGCTAGTGGTTTCACAAGGCACCAGGGACACTGGGATTCCATTCATACTACCGTATGTGCAAATGTGGAAAGACGAGAGTTTATTACCCTGGCAGGTGAAGCGGAAGGATGGAAGAGAATTAAATAATTAGCAGAGCGGAGATGCACACATATCACTAACCAAAGCCTTTGACGTTTCTTGGTGTGGAAGAAAATGTGACCACATGAACATATTATTCCCATTATATACAGTTCCAGGGAAAGAAGATCCACGCAGAATGATGGAATGAACAGCTAAGTCTGAGAAAGCAGAATACTATTCAAGTGTACCTGTGACCTAAACCCTACAGATCTCAAGATATATAGAGGGGGATTTATCAAAACTGGAGCAGACAAAATCTGGAGCAGCTGTGTATAGGCGGCCATACACTGTACAACCATCGCAAGACCTTAGTCTTGCGATGGTTGTAAAGGGATTAAAAAAACGTACGATCTGCCCATCTTGGACGGGCAGATCGCACTCTCGATCATCGCAAGCCACGCCCCCTGAGGGGCGGGCTTGCGATGACTGTAATGAGGGGCGGGCTTACGCTGACTGCAAACGGGCAGTGTGCGCGTGCAGCGGCCCGTTCGGCAGTTGTCGAACCAGCAGGCCACCAACTCGCCGAGAATCGTACGATTCCCGGCGGGTTTTCAAACATGCTGGTTCGATGGAAGACGTGCGACCGTACAGTAGAAACGGTCGCATGCCTTCCATACACTGCACGATTCTCGTACGATCGCGGGATTTCCCGCGATTCTCGTACGAGAATCGTGCAGTGTATGGGCACCTTATGGCAACCAATCAGCTTCTCGCTTTCAAATCTTAACTAAACAAACTGAAGAGAGGCTGATTGGTTGCCATGGGCAACTGCTCCAGATTTCATCAGCTCCAGTTTTGATAAATTCCCCTCAGTATGTTTTACTAGGACTTTACTTTGGTCTTTTTAATGTTATGCTGTTTGCTGCTGTGTTTCAGCTTTTATATGATTTCAAAATCCTATAAGCAAAATGAGGCCAAATTGAACACTGGTTGTCCTGCTCTTCCTTCCTCTGTGAAGTTTGTATCTACGCTGTTCAGTGGGGCTCCGGCAGTCTTCAGCACTTGCCAACTCAGGACAAATGTCAGACACATTCTGTACAATGTGAGACTTTCAGGGCTTCTGACTGGAAGATGGTTTATAAGCTGATAATGACCCAGGCCGTGGATTCTACTGCACTGGAATGCTCGCACAAGGCCATGAGAGCACAAGGCTTACACACTATTACATCAGCCGTTTAGGAGATTCAAGAGAGCAAGTTCAAGCAGAGCAACTTCATGTTCCAGACTTCTATGCATGTAATCTGTGTAATGTCATGACCACCAGCTATTTCCCAATCATCGGCAGAACATGCAATGGCCAACTTCTCTGCAACCCCCACGTGAACCGCTATGGTATGGGTTCAATAACACAACCTCTCCTGTAGAAGAGAACTTGTTAGCAGTGTTACACTTACATCAAAAACTTATTTTCCTGATTGTACTTAGCGCAGGCCAATGCACATACAAACACTGAATACGAACATACAACACTGAATACACACACAACTCTGTGAGATTACGGATGATTTTTGAAAAAGCAGAGCTGTTGCCCACAAAACCCCATTTATTTTAATCATTTACCCAGCACTCTGAAGCTGGACTCTAAGCAGATACAAAAGAAACACATCCATAAAGAATGCCCGGAATTTTTAAATTAACCCTTGCAGTGAGGCTACCTCTGTACTGTAAGGGTTACCTGCTCATTTGTGTCTAGGTTCAGAAATAAAGTTATACTCACCCGAAGCTCTGAGCCGGCTTTTTCTTAGACCGGTCCTTCCAATGTCTCTCTCCCTCCTCTGCAGCGGTCTAAGGTCCCATAAAACATCAATGTCTATATACTGTTTATAGAGGTGAGAACCCTGAAGAAGACTCCAATGCTGCAGGGAGGGGGAGAAAGGCTGGAGGGAGTGCTGTGACAGATGGCCGGCTCAGAGCTTCTGGTGAGTATAACTTTATTTTAGCACACTTTATCTAGACACAAATGTATTTGTTTTTAAATACAAGCCGTATGAGAACCCTGATCTGACTTGGTATTGGCCTTCTCCAGTTCCTGTATAGTAGAGCTTAGAGAGGGTGAAGGAGAGGCAGCACAAGGAGCCAATCCGATGTGATTAATGCAAGGAGCATGTTACTGGGTGGAGAGAGCAGAGTGACAGAAAGTTAGCTAATCAGTGTACAGCTTCTCCTTTATCTGTCCAGTCATAGGGTGGGGGTTGGAAGGAGTGAAACTCAAGTAGCAACACATTAGGTCCCCTTCCCTACCGTGCATTCCATATATGTATTTCATCTGTGTTTTTAGTGGGGATGTCCCGATACATGGCATTTTCAGGAGTGCTTGTACTCCTGAAAATGCCCTGATACTAAAGGCTGATACTGGCCCTTTAAAACTTTCAGGACGTTCGAATGCCATGACATTGTAGTCCATCGTGGGAGCGAGCTTGGGGCGGTGACTACTTTACAACACACACAGGGACCACGTGGAACAAAGGTAGCCACCCTCCAGAAGGGAGGACAGTGTCGGCACCAATTCAGAGATGATTTGAGGATCTACAGCCGAGTGATACACAAATAAGATACAGTGGTACCTCGGTTCACAAACTTAATTCGTTCCACGATTCTGGTCGCGAACCGAATCAAGCTGTGATCAGACCGCGATCTCGACTAGAGGAAGCCACGACCATGTGTCAGAGCAGGGAAGAGAGCTGCGGTTGTGTTAGTCACCCAATGCTGAGCTTGACGGAGCCAAATTTTGCCAAACTTCCTGTTCGTGAACCAAATTGTTCGCAAACAGAAGCATTCGTGAACCGAGGTACCACTGTACATTTGTGATCATGGTTCAGGTACTTCAATGGGTTTAACCCCCGAGTGTAGTGTCACTTTAAATGTATACAGTGTATAATAACCCAGTACTTGCTGTCATCTCACTCCTTGCATTGAACGGATCTCGGGTTTAATAACGCTGAGGGCCAGCAGTCTCCTCTCTCCTGCACTGACTGATGAGGTCTCAATTTACTGCCGTTTCCCCCTCCTGAGGCCTACGGTAACCTCATTCCTCTAAACTAAAAATGAGACCTGTGGCGACTTTTCCCCAAATCCGCTCATTGGCTGCCACAATGCGTTTATGTCTACACAGAAAATGGAATGAATTCCAGAAAACCTCAGGGAAATGACATCACCTGTCTCATTAAGATTAGCTTATAATGGTAGTAGTCCTTTTGTGTGAAATGCCTGCGAGCAGAGGTCTGGCCATCGGGGTGTTGTTAATAGCAGGTGATATTAGTCATAAAAGCGACCAAATAACTCCGGGGTATTGTCTTACACGTGAGGGCTTTGAGGGGCTGCGGTTCTGCAGCTGTCTGAGAGCACTCCATGCGTGCCATGCAATCACTTAAACACACCACATATCAAGTTATATTATTACCAGCTAGCTCCCCCCCCCC